TTGAAGTTCTCACTGTGTTAATCCATTCTTCTTTCCAGTTTGATGAGCAAGATCTTTGAATTCTTTAATAAGTAAATTACTTCTCTATTTCATTAATCTTTTCCCCAAGTTTTATCTTTTTTCCCCCATTTGGAACATATTCCTCTTTTCATTTTACCTTACTCTCTGTATTGGTTTCTATATTGCAGATGACACCACAGCCTCTTCCAGTCTTGAAGGAGTGGCCTTGTGTAGAAGACGAAACTTGTTATGCAACTCTGTCTCAGTGCTTGGGTGTCTTTCAAACTTTTATGCTTGTCTAAGCAGCCTATTACATTTTTAATAGCTTCCAGTAGCTGAGGATGTGCCATGACCTGTCATTGTCCTGGAGGGGGATGATTTCAGCACCTAGATTTAGGCTGACTAGAAGCCAGACCTTCAGGCATCAGTTTTTTAAAAGTATGCAAATATATATAGTCCTGTGAAACCACACATGTAAGCCCCTGCTGGCCATTAGAACCAGGCAATCTGGAGGTATCCCCGGTGTGGCAAAGAGATCAGGGCTCCAGATGAGCGTAATAGGTCTTTTCTGGGTGACAGTAGCAAGGTGGAGCAAGGCAGATGGAGAAAGATGGCATCCTCAGCCTAATACTCCTTGAGAGGAGCTTTGTATGCTCCTAAATGTGTGCCAAATCTGAAAGAGGTCCCTCCCTCAGGCCAAAGCCCAGACTGAGCCAAGAGGCCTCCTTCACAGAAAGACTGGGGAGTGGCGCCTCATTCTGCTTTCTGTGCAGTGCCCTGGGGGTGGTAGCCTACTAGTCTGTCAAGAACCACCTTTCCAAATGCCACAGTCCCATGGGACCCAGGAATGCCAGTCCTCTACGTACCCTTACCCTAGCCACAAGAGCCAGGTGATCAAAGGCTATTCCCTGGAAGGCAGCTGTAAAAACTGGGGCATCAGATGCATGTATAGCTCCCCTCCAGGAGACACTGGCACTTGAGAGCATAGCAGAGAGTGAGCTCAAAGATAGGATCCTCTCCTACAAAAGAATTCTCTGGAAAGGATTATAGCCCCAAGATATGTATTTAGTTAGCAGTCTGCTGTCACAATGATTAGTTAATAATCTTCCTCACAGGAAGTCTGAGCTCCTAGGTCTGATGCCTCTTGCTGTGGCCTAGGGGGCATAGCTGTTAAGGAAATTTCCTTATTGATTACAGTTCTGTGGGACCCATAAGTGTAAGCCTTACTAGCCACCAGAGCCAGGCAATGCAGTGATGTATTCTGGCAGCAGTTGCAAAAACCGAGGTGCCAGATGGGATATGAGCTCCTTTCTGGGTGACAATATTACAGTGCCACAGAACAAGGAACACATGCCTCTTGGCCTCTGTAGCCAGGAGATGAAGAGTGCAGCCTATTTAATGTAATTATTGATTTAAACACTTAGGTTTAAATCTATACTCCTATTTTGTCTCATCTCTTCATTATAACTTTTGTCCTCTTTCTCCCATCTTTTGTATTCAATGATTTTATGAGTTTTATCTTACTGCCCCCTTATTAGCCCTCTTTATTTCAGTAGTTGCTTTAATGTGTATATCTTTAACTGATAATCTACTTTCAAATATTTTACCACTTCATATATAAAGCCCTTAAAATAGTATATATTTCCACTTCTCTCATTGTCTTTTTTTTAACATATAAATGACACTGCATATCATTCTTATTTAAATGGATATATTAGTTTGCTAAGACTGCTATAACAGAATACTGCAAATCGAGTGGCTTCAACAGAAATGTACTTTGTCACAGTTCTGGAGTATAGAAGTCTGAGATCAAGGTGTCTGCAGAATTGTTTGTTCTGAGGGCTGTGAAGGAAAATCTGTTCATGCCTTTCTTCTAGTTACTGGTTGTTTGTTGGCAATCTTCATATTCTTTATTTGTAGAACCACCACCCCTCTGCTTTCACATGACATTCTGTGTGTTAGGTTTCTAAGCCAGAATTTCTCCTTTTTATAAGAATACTACAATCAAACTGAATTAGGGCCCACCCTAATGACCTTATTTTAACTTAATTATCTCTGTAAAGACCCTATCTCCAAATAAATTAACATACTGGAGGTTAGGACTCCAACATATCTTTGCAAGGAGGAACAGGACAGGATTCAACCCATAATAATGGTCGGTTATCTTTCCGAGTTTAAATAATAAAAAAATTACATTTTTTACAACTACATAGTTCTCACTTCCTATATTCTTCATCATTTTGTGTAGATCTGTATTTCCACCTGAAGTATTTCTTCCTTAACATTTCCTGTAACGTAAATTGGCTGATGTTAAATCCTTGAAGCTTTTGAATGTCTGAAAAAAAATCTTTGTCTTTATTTTTGAAAGACAATTTTGCTATGTATGGAATTCCTGGTGACAAATTATCTTTTAGTATTTTACCTTTTTTTAAGAAAATCTGTCTGCTTTTAAGACTTTCCCTTTATCATTGTTTTGATTTTTGTGTGTGTGTGTTGGGGGTAAATGATGATTACCATGTCCCTTGGTGTAATTTTGTTTCTTGTGTTTATAGATTTGTTAAACTTCTTGGATTTGTGGACTTATAGATAGCTTTGATCAAATTGGAATATTTTAGGCCATTATTTCTTAAATCTCTCTGCCTTGTGGGAGAGACTCCAATTATGCTTGTATTTGGCCACTTGATATTATTATTATTTGAGAGAGACAGAACAAGAACGAGTAGGGGAGTAGGGTAGCAGGGGCAGAGGGAGAGGAACATGGGACTTGATCCAAGGACCAAAGGCAGAAACTTAAATGACTGAGCCACCCAGGCGCCCCGGCCACTTGATATTATCTCATTGCTCACTGATGTTCTTCCAACTCAAATTCTTCTGGTGTTTAGTTTTGAGTAGTTTCTATTGTCACGTCTTCAATTTAACTTTTCTTATGTTCTGTATCTCTATAAACTTTTTGTACTTAAACAATATTGTCATACTGTGCCTGTATTAATGTCCTTGTTTCCTAATTTTAACATCTATGTCAGTTCAGGGTTAATTTTTGTTGATTATGGCCAGTTATTTTTTTATTGGATGTCCAATATGGTGGATTTTTACCCTATTGGGTGCTGGATGGCATTGTACTGCTATGAATATTCTTGAGCTTTGTTCTGGGATGAAGTTATATTACCTGAGACACTTTGATCTTTTTGGGTCTTCTAAGATTTATTAGGTGGGACTGGACCACTGTTCAGTCTAAGGCTAATTATTTTCCAGTACTTAGATAAGACTCATGTATACTCTACTTAACGCACTGTGATTAGTTTTAGGTTTCCAGTATGGTTGATGGGAACAGGTACCATATATAACCCTGAATCCTTTTGAGTGTAGTTTGAGTCACATGTAGCTTTCTTACACATGTCATGTAATGTTCAGTATTCAGTTGAGTACCCAAGGAGGACTCTTCACCTTCAGAACTCTGAAGTTTTCCCTCTGTGCAGCTCTCTTTTATCAGTATTCTGTTCTCAGAATCCTAGCTGCCTTGTGCCCTTCAGGACTCTAAGCTGTCTCCACAACTCAGGGAAGCCGCTGGGCTTTGCCTGGGATTCTCTCTTTCTGTGTCATGTCCTAGAAGTTGTCTAACGGCCAAATGCTGGTGCAAGAGTAGGGCTCAATTCATTTGTTTTCAGTGATCATTGTCCTTTATTACCTGATATCCCATGTTTTGTAAATTATTTACATTTTGTTCACTCTTTGTGGTTTTAGGTAGGGGAAAGAGCAAACTGGTTTTTGTTACTCCATCTTGGCTCGAAGTAAAAGTCTCTTTGTTTTAAAATTAGTTACAGTATTCTGAAACTGTAGAAGTCTGATTCTACTCCTGAACTTAAATCATTTGGAAGGCAAAATAACTGCTATATTTAAGAGTTTAAAGTTATGGTTCTCTATGTAAACAAATTTAACATTTATTTGAGCCCAAAGTTTAGAGCAAATAGTTGTCATGTTTCAGCAGTCCCTAAAGGACCTCTCTAATGTGTCTTGAGGAAAGAAGAAAATCCATGTACTAAAGCCAAATGCATTTAAAAAGTATAGGTCCTGATGGTACAGGAATTCTTTGCAGTGATAAGCTAAGAACAGATGTTTTAACATAAAGCAAACATTTGTCCACTTTTTCAGAAGTAGAGATAATATAATAGGTTGATAGCATTTTTTAAATCAAAATTCAAAAGATTCATATGAAAGTTGAATCTCCATGAAGGAATTTTTTTAGTAATAATGGCAAACATTTCTTTAGTACTCACTATGTAATAGGTACTCTGCTAGGTGTTTTAAATACTTAACTAGACATTAATGGTCATTACTAACCCCATCACACAGATAAGAGAACAGGCTCAAAGATACAACCTCAGGATGAAAGTAAGATTCTATTCTTTTATTCAAAGATGTATTTAATGAGTACTTCATGTGCTAGGCACTCTTCTAGGTGCTAGGACTATAGCAGGAGAGTGAAAAATTTATACTGTAACACATATTCTAACATTAAAAATGCAATTTGTAAAAATTTTTGGTGCCTACTGCTTTAAGAAAAAAAATTTTAAAAGCAGAGGAACTATTTTAAGTACAAATAACTGGGATTTAATAAAGTTTTAACGGTCTCAAAAATCCTTGCTCTTGACATTCCATAATGGCTCTACATCATAGTACACTTCAGAAAAGGATACCTCAAACAAAAAGCCCCAAACCTTACAGCTATTTAGAAATCTTTGCAATCTACTAAAGTCTCTTGATTACAACAATGGATAAACAGGGAACAAAATAAATAAAACCAGTATTATTTTGACCAGTACCATACTTGTCAAGTAAATGATCAAAAATTTTCAAGGAACATACATTTGCTTTTGAACAGAAATTTTTTACCAACTTGTTCTTAGAAAACAAAAACACTTGTTTTTTTCAGGATTGTAAAGACAAATGCTTTTCCTTTATTAAGATCTTTAAGTTTCAAAACAAAACAGAACTATGCATACCTCTACAGCAGGTACGATGTCTATGCCAACAGTTAGAAATTCTTCAAACTTCAGAAATGGGTTAAAGCAGCTGCCAACATCAAGTAATCTGATCTTTCCTGAGGTCTGGAGCAACCTAAAAATAGATGACTTTCAGTTTGCCTTTTATAGGATAAAGGGTATAAGAAAAAAATTCAAATTTATTATATAATTCATAAATTTAAAAATTACTGAGGGCCCTAAAGACTTTTCATAAATGTGGGTTATAAGTACCAATAATACCATATCTGAAATTAAAACTGAATAATGAAAAAACATTAATTCATTTAACATCCTACGGCAGGCTTTTTAAAAAAGGTAAATTATACTTTTTAAAGGAAAAATTTAGGGCAGCCCAGGTGGCTTAGCGGTTTAGTGCCGCCTTCAGCCCAGGGCCTGATCCTGGAGACCCGGGATCGAGTCCCATGTCAGGCTCCCTGAATGGAGCCTGCTTCTCCCTCTGCCTCTCTCTCTCTTGAGTCTTTCATGGATAAATAAGTAAAATCTTAAAAAAAAAAAAAAAAAAAGGAAAAATCTAGATTAGCATGATAAAAAAAAAGTGAGGCATTGTTTTACATTTTTTCAAATGTCTTTAATGCCTGGCTTAATAGAAGACAGATGAATTCTCACAAGGGCTTTTGTGTTCAGGCTGTTGTAACACCATATGCCATGTAGTTTGGAAAACTCCACTCTACACTCAATGAAAGAAACAGTAAATAAAGACAAATGACATCTTAGGGTTATTAAAAATAATTTTTCACCCACAGAGATCCTGGAAGGGTCTCAAATCCCCAGACCACACTTTGGAAACTGTCCTTATAGATAAAAGAATGCATTCACAAATCAAATTTCATTAGTCAATCTCACAGTGTCCTTGGACTTCACTTTAATTTGCCCCAGTTATTTAAAGGGAACAAAGAAAACATCATAAAGAGAATAGTATTTTTAAAGTTACGAAAAATTATGTCCAAGAATTTTCCTCATATTCAAAAGTAGTCATTTCTGGTTTTATCTTCTTTTTTCTATTATTGTATAATCAATCTATATAGCAGCAAGGATAACAGTGGATTTTATTGGGCTCAAGCCTGTAGTCCTCGTGATCAGAGACTTCAGATATATTCCATTACCATTAATAAGATAATTTCCTTTAAGACATTTGAGAACAAATTGTAAAAATAAAGGAAAGAAAATATAGGAGAATAATTGGGTAAAAACAAAATCTTGGCTCTTTGAAGTATAAGGGGCAGAAGAAGCTATCCAGCTTCTCTTCCTTATACCGTGACTACCACTTTCCTTTTGATCTACTGGGAGATGTTAAACTACAGACAGAAGGTTAATCTCCTGAAAAAGGCACTATAAGTCAAAATAACAAAGTTTATTTTTTTCAGAAAAGGAATGCAGTAAATAGGGGTTACATTTTTTATGAAGAGCATGATGTCCTAACATTTTAGAGATCTGATTATAAATGATATGGGACCCATTTGATAGAGTATATGGCAGGGTATAATATGAAAAAAAAAAACCAGTATGAACTGATTAAGAACTCATGTGAAGAAGAGCTATGAGGGTATAAGGAAATAACTCGAGGGCCTTCACTCTCTATATTTGTAAAAAGACTCAATACCTCTGATAATGACGTCCAGATGAAGGTCAGTTCTTACAAGGAATAGGTAACAATTCTGCCAGTGAAAAGAGCAGCTCCAAGAGGTAATTTCCAGTACTGCAGTCGTTCAGGAAGCAGATTAATATGTATAGTTTGGGTAATGGATATGTAAAAAAAAAAAAAAATCTATAAAGTTGAATTAAGTTTGGTGATACCTGAAGTATCACAATACACTAGGTTCCAGGGAAGAAAGATGCCAGCAAAACTTATGTGGCACAGGTTCCAACCTGCTAAATGGAGCAAGATCCAGTAGACAGGGGCCATAGAAATGCCTGGCTTTTAGCTGATATTTGCTGCTGAATTAATAAAAGTTTGAATACCCACATCATAACCAGTTAGAATAAACGAAAATCTGTTAACAATAAGAACATTATATACACTATATAACTCTAGCCTCAAGTAAAGATTACAGGGACTAAGAATAAGAGTTCTAAAGTCAGAGAGAACAGGATCAAAACCTGATTCTGTCCTTTACCTTTGTAAGATGGGGACAATTATGGTATCCACACTTAAGAGTTGTTTCCAAGATTAAATGAGATAATGCATTTATAATGCTTGACCAGTATCTGCTATATGGCAAGTGCTCAAAAATGGTAAATACTGTTAGCTATTAATGTTTATAGATGGAATTTTTTTGTGACTTATCCAGTAATGATTTTCCTGAACATAGTAATAGCAGAATTTGCCTCATATTAAATTTTATACTAGTAGATTCTGGTAAACTGGCTAGCACATTTCTGATAGAAAATCTAACTTACAAGAAGCACTTTTTAAGAGACTATCTGGATGGAGTATTCTAAATCATTCAAGTCAATTCAACATTATGATACAATAACCAATAACTGTATCATGGATTTATTCCCAGTATGTACTTAAGTCCATTTCAAATTCTTTGGTTCAGCTCCTTACTCTTTTTATTTGCATCAAAGTAATTACCACCCAGGTCAAGAAATGAAATATCACCTACACCCTGAAAACATGACCCTCCCTGATGACATTCTTCATCCTTTTGTGTAATGGTAGCCACTATTCTGATTTTCATGGTTATCATTCTCTTCATTTCCTTTTATAGTTTTACTACCTATGACCACATGCCTAAACAATACAGTTTTAGACTCTGCTTTGTGATTCTTCTTTCATTTAATGTTGTTTCTAAGAGTCATCTGTGATTCTACAGTTATTTCACATTCATTGCTGTATAGTAGTAAATTCATACACTATACCCCATTGGGATTTTTGACTAGAATGGCACTATGTGTAAAGATCATTTTGGGAGATTTCTCAGCTTTACCATACTGAGTCTTCTAATCCATGGGCATAGCATAGTTCTCCCTCTACTTAGCTATTTTTTTAATTGTCTCCCATATCTTTTGTTGGATTTGTATTTTTTGGTATCTCATTTTTTTGAGGGTTTTATTGTTTTCCCCTTATGGATAAATGTTATTTTTTTAAAAAATCATGGTTCATTGCTAGTTACATAAAGGAAATCCATACTGTGACACAGTAATTAAAATGTTAAACACTATAGATAAAGAGAAAAGGAGCAAGAAAGAAGCAAAAAGCTATATACAAGGGAAACTCCATAAGGTAATCAGCTGATTTTTTTCAGCAGAAACTTTGCAAGCTAGACAGGAGATAGCATGATAGATTCAAAGAACTGAAAGGAAAAAACCTACTGCCAAGAATACTCTATCCAGCAAAATTATCATTCAGAATTGAAGGACACAGTTTCTCAAACAAAAGTTAAAGGAGTTTATTACCACTAAACCAGCCTTAATAAGAAATGTTAAAGGAACTTCAAGTGGAAAAGAAAAGGCCTTAAGTAGAAGAAAATTATCAATAAAAAGATGTAAAATATGACAACATATTTAACAAGAGGAAAATGGTAAAAAAGTTCTTTTAAAATGTGTTCAAACTTAAGTGACTATCAAGACTGTTATATACTTAGGATGCTTTATATAAACCCCATGGTAAGCACAAACCCAAAACCTATAATAAAGAGAAAATCAAGCATAATACTACAGAAAGTCTTCAATCACAAAGAGAGCAAGAGAAGAAGGAAGAGAGAACTATAAAATACAGGAAAATATTAACAAAAATGACAAGCAGCACACACTGATCAATAATTACTTTAAATGTAAATGGTCTAAATGCACCAATGGAAAGATGAAGGACAGCAGAATGGATAAGGAGACTCATTTCATACTTACATACAGACTGAAAATGAAAGGATGAAAGATACTCCATGCAAATGGAAGCGGGGGGTGGGAGGAATAAAGGTCAGGTGATAATACTTGTATCACACAAAGTAGATACTCAAACAGAGACTAACGCAACACATAATGATAAAGAGGCAATCCAACAAGAGGATATGTAATTGTCAATATGCACTCTCAACACTGGAGCACCTAAAGCAAGTATCTGAGAGTAACACAACAGAAGGACTTTAACACCCTACCTACATCAATGGATAGAACACCCATATACACAGAACATTTAATCCCAAAAGCAGAATACATGTTCTTTTTAAGAACATGAGGAAAACCTCCAGGACTGATCACACGGTAGGCCACAAAACAAATCTCAAATTTAAGGTTGAAATCATACAGTGTATCTTTTCTGACCATGACTATATTAAACTAGAAATCAATCATAAGGAAAACACTGGAAAAAACACAAGTGGAAATTAAACAACATGCTAATGAGTTGCCAATGAGTTGATAAATCAAAGGTACATGGAGAAAAATGGAAACAAAACCACAATGGTCCATATAAGGTCTACCACAAACAATAAAAATCTCAATCTAACCTAAACCTAAAGAAACTAGAAAAAGAAGAACAAAGGTCAACGTTTATAGAAGAAAGAAAATAATAAAGATTGGAACAGAAACAAATGAAAGACCCAACAAAGGAAAACATCAAAAAAACCAAGAGGTGGTTCTTTGAAAAGAGAAACAAGCTCTGGCTTGTCTGGCTAAAGGTTTGTCAATTTTATCAAGGAGAAAAGAGGATTCGAATAAATAAAATCAGAAATGAGATATAAGTGACAAGAAATTTTAAGATAATATTAAATTATATACCAAAAATTGGACAACCTAGAAACAAATGGATAAATTCCTAGAAACATACAATCTTCCCAAACTAATTAAGACATAGAAAGCTGAACACATTGAATTTCATTACCCAAAAAAACCCCAAAAAACAGCTATTCAAAAAAACTCCCAACAAACAATAATTCAGGACTAGATGGATTCACATGAGAATTCTACCAACATTTATTTTATTTTATTTTTTTCTACCAACATTTAAATAAAAGTTAATACCTGTTCCCTTCAAACTATTCCAAAAACTTGACTAGGAAGAAAGATTCCTAAATTGATTCTACAAGGCTAACATTAGCCTGATATCAAAACCAGACAGAGACACTACAACAA